GCTATAAGGAGCGATGTCCATGAATTTGGGCTTGGGAAAGTTGCAATAGAAAACTTTCAAACAAGATGTTACAATACTGACATAGTCCATATGAACGTTAAAACAGAACATGTATTCAATGGAGGGTTGCCTGGGTGGGTGTCTGAATTGAGAAGGTTGCTTATGAAGGATATAAGTCATATGTGGGGTGATCTTCCTGTCACTTCCTTTGGGAAGCCTTCTGATGTAGTGGTCATAACAGGTCAGAGCTGGGGGTGGGAGCAAATGGTAGGCTTTGACAGCAAACCTGTTCTAGAAGGGTCCTTGGAGAAAGTGTTTGGGGTTCAGCCTCAACCTTATAGAAAGGGTCACCATCACTGGACTTGGTCAGCATTGGCATCCCCTGGGCAATGGAGCCTGGCCTCCATCTCCACTACAACCAGGTAGGCATTGGTTATGGTTCTGGAAACAGGACTGTACCAGAACTGCAGAGCATGCAGGCAGACGTTCTTCATCAGGGAATATTGAGGTCACAGAGTGCATGTCCCCCGAAGGGCTCTTGAGGCTCAGGGACAGTACATGGCCTTTGGATTCAGCAGAATGTTGAGAGCAGGGACCAGCCCCATCTGAACTCGGCTGGACCTAGCTCCCTTCAGCTCCAGAAAGGCCAGCCCTGTGCAGGTGGCACTTGGATTTCTCCTAAGTTGTGACTGCATCTTTTCTTTCCCCTCTGTGTTAAATTCTCCCCATCTCCCAATTTATTTCTGAATATCCATTCCATTCCGTCGCCTTCTACCCCCTCTTCTTCTGCTGTCAGTATGAAAGGGGATGTGACCCTTTGCTAGGAATCCTCCCAGCTGTTCCGTGCATGTTACTTTAGTTCTCAGTGCTGAGAGGGTGAGGCCAAGCCTTTACTTTGCTCTAGGCTCTGTTCTTCCATGGGAGCCTGACATACATCAGAGAATATGACGACTGTAGGACAGGGCTTGGACCAGGACCAGTGTCTACACCTGGCTGTATCACTTTAGCTCTGGGAGACTCTGGCATTTAGTACCAACACATGGGACCCTGTTTTCTCACGGGGGCTTTGCAGATCATAAAACACTAGGTAAATGTGGTAGCATCACCATCACCGTCATTACAGTTATCATCATTACCTTGCTAGTAATTGATCCTAATTTCCAAAATGTTCTTTTTTTTTCTATAATTATACTTTATTAATTTTTCATAAACATTTACAGAGATTTTGGGTTTCCATTCATTCATTGTTCCACTATTCTCTCTACCCTCCTCCCAGTTTGTTCTTGTCCAAATGCCACAGTGCTTGTCAAAGCCAGTTCTGATTAATCTTCTTTGTCAGTGTGTC